AAAGTTTAAAGCTAAGTATGTATCCACTACTTATGTTTTCCTCCAGGTAGAAGGACAACAAGTATTGAGGTTGTGAGTCTTGAAAGACTTGGTGTTTTGAGGAGACAAAAGACAACACAGTATCCGGGAACACTGTGAACAAGGCAGAGAGTGTATAACAGGCAGAGAGGAGAGTAAAACCAGAGAGAAAATGAGAGGTCAGATCATGTAGGCAGACAACTGTGGTCTCTAGAAAGGAGTTTGAATGTGTTCTAAGAATAACAATGAAAAGTTGTTGAAGGGTTTTGGCAATAGATAAGGAATGTTATGTATGTTTTGTATCACTTCTCTAAGCCTCAGTTTCCCTATCTTTAAAATAGATGGAATAACATTAATGTCCTCAAAAGATCATTGAAAAAGATGATGCATGAGTAATCACTATGGAAGTTGTAAAATACTGTAGAGATATAAAATAATCTTAACACTACGGTCACTGCTCAGGAATCTTCAGTGATTCCCTGACATCAATGGCATAACGTCTTCCATCAATGAGTCGTAAAGTGTTCCACCTGTTGGCACCATCTGACCAATATGAACGTTTATCTCATTTTCTGCCTCAATATATTATCTCCAGTCTTCTCCCCATTATGTCTCCTGTGCCTACATCTTGCTTTTGCTCATAATGAGCAGTGGGTTCATTTTTTAATGCCTTCTTCGATTTCCTCCACCTATTCTAATCCGGTTTCACACTTGTGCCTGTATTAGTCTGGATTCTCTTGGTTACAAGGAACGGGAAAACCTCACTTGTAAGTGAAAAGTCCAGGAGGATGTCTAGTTCCTCTGGGCATGAATTGATCCAGGCACTCATGAAACCATGTCAGGGATTTGTGTCTTAAGTCTCTATCTCTAAATTTCTCCCATGAGTTGTCAGTTTGATCATTCATAACTGCAGACTTCATCCTACCAGCTTAGCAACTCCACTAGAAAGAGAATTTCTCGTTCCCAAATGATCTGGCAAAAGTCTCATGTTTCACTCTATTGGCCTAAATTCATTATACACCCTGAATAAACCTATGTAATATGTATTGGCCAAATCCCAGGCCAGAGCCCACCCAATGGTTTGAGGGCCCTAGGTGGGGTTAGTGCCCATCCAAAATGGATGAAGTGGGTTTGGGGAAGGGTCCCAACAGAAAAACAGAATTTGGAAATGGACATTTCACAGGCAAAAAGAAAAGAAAACAAAAACCCCGCCCAGATATCCACCATAATGCTACAGGTCATGTCCCTTGTCCTCCATTGGCCCTGCCTCTGTGACTTCAGGCAATAATTATCTTTTTCCTTCCTGACTTTTCTTCATACTTGGTCTCTGGAG